TTTCTTTTACATCTGTGAATCGCTCTTCTATTCCCCCTCCCGAATCCTTCCCACTTTGATGTTCCTCCCCTCTGTGAAGACTGAAGTCAACTAAAGGGCTAATGATAAACTCTGTAAGACTGAAGTCAGCTAAATGGCTAATGATAACTATCAAAACGCCTCCCAACTAAAGGGCTAATGATAACTATCAAAACGCCTGACATCTGTTATAAATAAATAAATATTTCAAGCCAATACTCAAAAGTTCATATCCTAGCCTCACTACTATACAACAAGAGTTCAATGAACCGAATATCCGAATAAGGTATCTTCCCATTTGAGGAAATCAACAACGAATTTAAACCAGGCTTAAGAAAGCCAGGAATTTTCAAATTGGTCGATATATCAGTACACAATAAAAGTAAAGCTATAGTTACAATTTAAAGGGAGGTTTCTTGCTGTTCTTCAGTCAAAAGACAATTCATAAGGCAAATAGGGAGAGAGAGAGAGAGAGGCGTGGGAGGGGGGGGAGGGGGGCAGGGAATAGAAGAAAAAGATAGTGGTGAGAGGGAGAGAGAGAGCATTGGCAAACAGGAAATAATTAAAGGGTGCAAGTCAGCGCAGAAAGGGAAATAGTAGCAGTAGTCAATAGTTTATCTTGTACATTGGGCATTTGGTTAGGTAAGATGCATACAAAAATATCACCTACATTGAGCAAATGGAAAGTGTTTCACAAATTGTCGAAAGATTAAGATCGTGGAATAAAGTCCCTCCATACTCTGGCTGCAATATCTGCATTCCCTTCACAGATTTCTAGCAGGTGCTGCGCTACATCTACGGTTAGTGAAGAGTCCACAGCTTGAACATCACTCCGTTGAATAAAGCAGGCTGTGTCAAAGAAAGATCTAGGCACTTCGTCTTCGGAAGCGACAATCAGTGTTGGTTCATCCTGAAGCGCAGTTTCAAGATCCGTCGCGCGAGAACAACAGGAGGAGGGATTACGCCTCCGTTTTGGAAAGCTCTCAGTAGGAGTGGGTTCAATGGTGTGTCCAACTACTGAACTGACTCCAGTAGATGTTGATGCGGTAGGTCGAGGAGGAAGTGCAGGAGGTTCGTCGGACACCTCCACGATTTGGAAACGGGGGTCAAATCCTCCTATCTCCATCAACTCACCAACGCTTTGGGAACCAATACTAACCTTCTGTTCATTTTCCTGACCTCCAGCGTTATCTTCTTCCTCTTCCTCAGCTGTTACCTCTGGAATTAGTCGTGCAATTTCGTTCTCATGTTCCCCTTCAGGAATAAAAGGATCTAAAATTACTTCCTCAGTGGATTTAACTTCCAGTCGACAAAATGGACACGTCTGACCGCTTCCAGCATTCTGACAGTTTACGAGGCAAGTCTTGCAAAGGAGATGACCACAAGGTTCCAGACGAATGTTCTTATTATTCTCAGTGCAGATTTTACACACTTCAAAGGTGGATCCGATCCGTGAATAGAGTTGGTGCTGTTCTTCAGAAACTTGAATATGGATTTGAGTGATATTGCGAACCAGGGGAGTCAAGATGGAAGACTGGCTGGGGGTCCCGTTGGGATAGAGATAAAATCCATCCCTTTCACCATCTAGCAACGCTTGAGCAAGGGATTTATTCTGAATTATAGTTTGCAAGATCCCTAAGTCCTCAGTAATATATCCAATAGCCCATTGACCTAACTTTGTACAGGAAAGCCGGTAAACATAGCTTCCTGGACCGGGGTGTCCTCGAAGCTTTCTCAACACGGCCTTAACCTCATCATAGGTCATGAAAGCCATATAACCGGCATGCATTATAGTCAGCACGCGCCAGGTTTCCAGCACATTTGTCCAAGGTTGGAACAGGCGCACGAAAACATCAAATTCAAATATGGAAACGTAGTAATTACAAGTGAGATCTATGGTATTTTGTAGTTCGCGGGATTCACTACGATCTAGAGTTCCAAATGTATCAAAAAGTCGATTTCTGAATACCTCCCAGTCAATAATCGCCGATTCGCCAAAATTTGTCGACCACCAATCCGCTGCTTCGCGTTTAGTGATCCGAAAGGCTTCAGGAGCATATTTGTTGTTGGGGAAGAGAGCTTCGAGGTCTTTGAGGATGTGAGAGAGTACTAGGGAATACTTTGTGAGTTTCCTTCGTGGCTCTGAATGATCATCATACATTTTCTCCTTTGCATCTTTAAACAGCTTTGAGGTGAGCTCACATTTCTCGTTTAGATTCAACAGAAAGACTTGGAAGTAGACAGACTTAAAAAGTTCATCGAGGGAGCCCTGATAGGCAAACATGATGTTCCTCAACTTCTCGGCTATATCAGGAAGTATGTCTAGGAGATAAGGAGGACTATTTCGAAGAACAATGCGGGGGTCACGACAGAGATTGATCAGTTTATCCAACCTACGGACAACCGAGTCAATGGTCTTCTTATCCACTCGGGACTGGTAGTGATTGGGGAGAAACTTGGAGCGCATTGGGGAATCGATTGGGTAGCAGGCTTCGATGACGGAATTAAAAGCGGATTGAAAAGGTCTATCACTCGGGATTGGTGTAAAATTTAGCGGTTGGCCTCGGTTCATTAAAATGGCCTACAAAGTCAGAAAAAAGGCCATTCAAGTAGTAAAACTCAGACAACTCAATAATCACCCGGGATTAGTGATGTAAAGATTGGCATAATTAAGGCTAAATGACTGATTTTATGAATGTCGATTATTCTCTACAGCCCTGATGGAAAGTATAAATGCGAATTGAGAATATCTTACCACACATTTTTTGTTAATTATAACAGACATCAAACCTACTTCATTGTGAAGAAAAAATCAGAGCACTTGCAGTGGAAATGAGATTGGGGGGGGGGGGAGCGAAACAGCGGCTGCGTCAATTTCATATCATTTACTTTAGCATAGTAGGGGTGGGGTGCGATAGACTTACCTCCACGTGGTGCACCCTGGGCAACGTATACTCATACGGCAAAAAGTCTATTAGCCGGAAGTTGACTTCTGACTTCAAACTACAATCACCCCACTCTATGCCATATTCGACTTCTTCCACAGTACTCAACTCACCTTTTTCCACTTTTGCGTCTGTCTCTTTTACATCTTTGAAGCACTCTTCTGTTCCCCCTCCCCCTATCGACTTTTTTCACTTTGATGTTTCTTCCCCTCTGTGAGGCCTGAAGTCAACTAAAGGGCTAATGATAACTATCAAAACGCCTGCCATTTGATATGAATAGACTTTAGCATAGTGAAATCTTACACATACTCCCCATAAAAAAACTAATAGCCTGGCAGTGAAAGCAACATTTGCAGACATGAACCTTGGTGATTAATATATAGGACTTCAAGTATTTAAGCAATTCAATAGAGGAAACTAGCGCCATGATCCTCTTCTTTCGACAGGTGGGTTTCAATTACTTATTTGTTCATTTAGAGTAAAATTTTACCTAACCTTAGAAACAAGCGTCAAATTTGGCATTTACTGCCAATTTAATCTCCCAATAAAAAATTGGTGAATGTGGATTACGATGGGATAAATTTCGCTCATAAACGAACGCGTGTGTATGCAAAGTTACATATGTAGGGGGGGGGGGGGAGGGGGGGAGGGGGGGGAGGGAGTGGGTGAAATCGACTCTTTGAGGATGAAAAACAACGGAGAAATCATTAGGGGATTGGTTCACACGCATAAGCTCATTTGCCTGGTAGATGGAGGGTTAATGATTAAATAAAAGGTGGATGGCCACAAACTCCGATGCGAAAATGGAAAACGTCAAAAGGCCACTGATTGGGGAATGCAAGGGAATTAGACTTCTTTTGATTCTCATCACACTTCGAGTTCTCGTTAATATGTGGTGGTGGTGGTAGGAAGTAAATTTTCCGAAAGGTGACTAGCGTATCTCCTCTCTACCCAAACCAACTATTATTACCAATTGCCTTAACGGGCTAAGGAAATTCGTTAGTCTCATTCAAAAAATCGCATTTTTTCAATCAGATTGAACCTTTCTTGATAGTTTTTGAAGGGAGACTAGACGATGTGCAACAAAGACTGCAAACTAATAAGGCAATTATGACAAAATGAGTGGGGGGGGGGGGGATAAGGTCATGGTCTCGATTTCGCACTTAACTTGCGCATAATGTATGTGTGCATTCATTTCATATATGCTAAGTTGACTCACACGAACGAAGAGATCCCATGACGACAAATGGTTAAATTCAGTGACCAGTAATCTACAGAGTGCTGAATTTGAAAGGAGCATTCTAGACCTACCTCAAACTATGCCTAATTCAAAAATGTTTCGTTTTCACATTATTAATGACGCATTAGACGACAGTAAACTATTTTTAAACGTTGTGAAACAGTATCAGAGGGATCATAATCATTAGCTCTAATTGCACAAATAGTGAACTAAACATTCCAGTATGGGGACACTTACAAAGGAGTTAGTGCATTAGACACGTGTGAAGACAAATCACATACGATAGAATTCCCCAAACCGGTAAGCATAAAAATAAATAATTCTGACCCCGCGTGCTCAATTCATTAAAGCTGGAAGTTGTAATTCACTAAAGGATTCCAAAGAGGTTATCTTAGAATTTTAAAGCGAGCATATAAATATAAATAATAAAAAAAGCAAAATTCCAAATATCCTCAGTATTGATGTGAGTGACATTTCAGTTATTATTTAACGCTTTCAATCATTAATAAGCTACTAATAGTAGCTTAATGGCACATTGGCATCAGTCTCTTCCCTTCTTAGATACAGTGCTTTGAAGACCCCCCCCCCCTCAATATAAAACTCCGAAGCATACATAAGAATTTTGTTAAGCACTTGCGTTGTGCGCAAATGTATATCAGGTCAGAGGCCATAGGATAGACACTAGTTGAACTTTATCAAAAAAATGGCAGAACGCGATTTTCTCACCAATTAGGATCGAGAAAACTATGCCTCCACTCAATAAGTGGCGAAAAGTGCTTTAATTTAACTTCTCTTTGGGGGAAAAAAAAATTGAAGAGAGAAAAAAAGCGAACAGTTCGCAACTTTGATGTATTCCACCTTGACTACTGTATAAGACTGCGAATCAACTGTTCGACATCAAACCCCCAGCAATCTAAAAAAGTATAGAGGCTCATAGAAAAAAAGGTGAGCTCTAACAGCCATTGGATACATATTTTTCCCTCCATAATTACTCGACACTTCGACCTTTAAAACAATCAAATAGTGTTTTAACTCCAAGCGTAATTACCTCGAAGGCGACGACCAAATTCGCGACAGAGAGAGAGAGAGAACACTGCGAAAGACTTGCTTAGTCATCATGTGCTTAAGAGAGAAGTAACTACGACGAAATTGTGCGATAAGAAATCCTCATCTGAGTGCTTAAAAGTTAATGAGAGCGCATGAGATGCCGTGGCGAGTTCGCACATAATCACACAACAAGTCCTCCGAAAAGAAACAATATTCCTCCTTTGATCTCTCATCTACTACCTCGCTTATTTTTCACTTAGAGAGAGGGAGAGAGCAGCTCTATACATATACAAACCTTTTGAGCCTTGGAAGACGCAAAAATCTAGCAAGGTTTCTCTCCGACAAGACCTTAGTAGATAGGGCGTAAAAAAACCAAGGAAATTTAGAGAAGAGCACGCGAAACCTTTCTTTTCATTATGATAATAATGATGAGATGGATCGAAAGTGATGCGAAGCTGTGAGGTAAATCAGAGTTAACGAAATTAATCTCTTCCGTAAAGGCATAATAGGTTGAAAGACTAGCAAATTGCAAAAACTCTAGAATGGCAGCATTCTACCATTTCTCTGGAAGCTTTAGGATTATGCGGAAGGTAGTTAGATCGTCAAGACCAGACGAAAGATGGCCAAGATCAAAACCACTGTCAGCAACTTATTCACACAGACATCTATCAGAGAAGACCTAACTTCAACGCAATAGCTAGGCCCACACAGTTAAAAAGCTGAGATTGCACACGAGTGCGCACATCTAAATAACTACCGCAAAGCAAACTAGGAAAGCGTCTTCATAAAGAACGTTCATCAGCCATTCATTGGCTGTGAACCTACGGCCACCGAAGTTTTAGCCTCCAACTTCGTAGACGAACGCGTTAACAACGCTGTGTAGACAATGGTAACGAGATGCACATGGATTAAACATATAGTGGGGATTGGAAGTCAACAATTATCACAAAACTGCTTAATGCACTAAGATGTTATAGTCAGTGAATTAAGATAGGGAATAAATTAATCTAATTACATTTAAGATTGTAAGTAGTGAAGAGCAGTTGGTGTAGGATAATATCAACAGGGTTAACTGTTTTTGAAATGTCATGTAAGGGAGGAAAGAGACGAACACAACAGACTCCTCTTACTTGTAGATCGTTAGAAATCACACAAAAGCTGATTTATTAATGAATGTTGTAGAAAAAAAGGAAAACTGGCTAAGAGGAGTTGGTAAGGGTGTACACACGTTCTCTCCGCAATATGAGAGACTACGACTCTATGTTCTAGTAATTTCACTATTAAGTCCATTCTAAATGTAGCTCAGACGATTTACGAAATTTCCAGTGCTCGTCTAAGGGTAGCCAGTTGATATTCAGAGTAGTTATTGCAAAAAAAGTAAATTTGAAAAGTCAGTTACAGTCAGGTACTCCCTGCATTTATCATCCTTCTAGACCAATAAGTCTAAGACACTTGACTTCAATGTTTGAAAATGCTTCGTCAATAATCGCATCAATGCAGCAAGAAAACTTGATTATTCACTAAACAGATTTCTGTTTCCAACTTAGCATCTAACGACTTCAACCGTCTGAAATGGTCGACGGACAAAGTGGAACTGCTTCACAAAAATTACTATCCCTAAATTATCAAAACCACACCACCCCTCCCCACAGAAGTTGAAAAGACGGATGAAAATCGACTTCTCCACAAGGTTAAATGCTCAAGAAGGTGCCAAGTTATTTGCAGCACTCAATGCCGGTCATGAGTTGTCACAGAAGTACATACTAGGATCGACTAAAAAACCACGAAAAAGTGCCAATCAAAGCACAGGACGTCCATAGGGTTCCATGGGAGAATCTCGGTCGGCTGAAGAAACTTGAGACGAATGCTTAAGTACCATTGCAGTTTAAAATAAAATCTCTTGTTTTTTTCTGGTCCTTTTTATATTAAAAAAAAATTATTAGCAGCCAAATAAACATCTTTAAAGGAGGGGGTTATATAGCAATGCAATTAATTTGGTCAAGAATAGCAAAATATGCTGATTAGTACGTTCTAGTCATATCAGTAAGAATGACGACAAAGGACTTTGTGACTAAGGCGTGTACAAACATCACGAATCTTCGCACACCACAAAAATATATTTAGTAATCTCAAATGGGGAGTGAAGGGGGAAAGCGGAGGGGAGGGGGGGGGGGGGGGGGGGGGTAGTTTAGTCATCATAACCACCACTACTCGGAGTGGGATGGAGACGCATAAAAAGGGCAACCTCCAATCCATTTCAAACTCGTAACTGTCTAAGCGAAGAAACACAAAAAATATGACCCAATAAATAGTAATGGCTTCTACCGATGAAAATTGTTGATTTTGCGCGCAAACCTACATACCACCTGGTAATAAATAGAAACAGATTCAGAAAGAATGTTATGTAAAAATGGATTAAGGTTGTTTGCAATATTTATCGTTGACAAAGCGGCTTGATCGATCATGATTAAAAAAGAAGGCTTATTTTAGGATGCACTTTCTAATCCAATTTTGTTAAATCCAGAAATAGACTGACACTTTGAAGGGTGTAATACAGCTAAATAAAAAGATGAAAAAGTATTTCCAATTTTCATAAGTGGGGGCGCTAACACCGCTTAACTTGATCCCCACTGGTAATAAAGACATAATCTACGATATTCGCATTCAATGAAACATTAGATCTGGGCATCAACATTATTAGCTGCAAATCGCCACCACCATTCTGTACGTTGGGAATAAAATTTGAGAACGGGATAAGAATTATGTACTAGTTCAGTTCTAGAAAATTGTATCACACTCTGCTATACAATCATTGTAACTGGACCTTTAATGTACTCAAAGTCTCAAATGATGATCACGTTGCTACAAAAAACGGAATAGGTGCAAACACCCAGATGAATGTTTTCCACTATTAAATAACTCAGAAATTATGCTAATAAAAGTAAGTTAAGCAGTTAAGTTATGCAGTGGCACTACATATTTCAAGATAAGAAATAAAGAAACCGTTAGTCAAGATTAAGAGGGACATTCTAAGTGCCTATCTTGACACTAGCTTAAATTCGAATTTAATTTGATAATTTTCCTATCTGATAACTAATCGCTTTGCCAAAAAGGACAATTCGCTATCAATATACGTTCCGAATAAACATGATCCGTATACCGTATTCCGTGCTACACGTCTGTTTCCCTTATAGCTGGACTATAGCTTAGCTTGTTCTGGGAGTCTAGCTAGATGTTGGAGAATCTGCCATAGATATAAACGCGCTCCGTGCTACACGTCTGTTTTCTTTATAGCTGAGCTATAGCTTAGCTGTTCAGTCTAGCTAGATGTTGGAGAATCTGCCATAGAGATTTCTAAGTCGGTCAGGCTTTATTAGCGTAGCAATCCGCCACACAATGATGACAGGGTTGGAGAAACTCTTTGAGATAGAAATAATGAAATAAGCAAGAAGGCAACTGTGATTGATACATTTAGAATGAGAGCAAAAAAATAAGCAGAAATATGCGAGCAAATAAAATCGTGGAAGGTTGTAAAAATCATGAAAGAAGGAATAATAATAAGTGTCATGCATCAATGAAAAATAATTTGAGGTTTTTATTAGCGCCAATGTTATAAGAGATGTATTATACAAAACAAAAAATACCTTCTAGCACATGTTCATAAATATTAAACTATATAATTGATTAAAAGTATAAGGTAACAGCTAGTAACAAAGAAATCAAGGGACAATCAAAGGCTAATCGTGACAATTATAATGAATTATAATTCAATTTACTGGTTATTAAGAAAGTAAATCATCATACTTATCTGGATTGTGGGAAATTGCATTCAATAATCTAGACTGGTAACAAAACTCTGGTAAAAATAATATTTGTGTAGGTACATAGTTCTAAAGTTCATTAAAAATTTCGAATAGGGTTTGCAAAAAAATAAGTATAATATAATTAAGAGATAATAAATATCACAGTACTAATGATTGGTATTTGTGGATAGAAATTGAATTTTGCTAATAAATGAGACTCAAAAAATATCTCACCCGAGAACCTTCTCAGAGCGGTTGTGTGAAGCGAACATCCAACAATAGAGTAGATAATTTTGAAATGAACCCCAGTTATGGAAATAGATGTTTAAATGACGCTAAACAAAATGTTAGAAAGAAGATGAAAGCCAAAAATATCAAATAAATATGATTTTAAACTTATTTAAATGAAAAATATTATCAGTAAAGGAACTTTAATAACTCGTAGCACAAATAACTACATTTTTCATATAGCGTATTCTTTATTGTTTAAAGGCTAAATATGTTAGGGATCGGAGTTGTTGAGTTTTAAATCGTGGTGAAGAAGCGATCTTTCTATACAACAAAATTTTGGTGATTTAACTATTGCATATTATCACTATCAAGATTAAAGTTTCATTTGCTAGAGGCTTGAGACTTTAGTGTCAATATACCTCCACTGAACATCTTTCGGTGTGGTGCTAAAAAATAGTAATTTACCACCACTTGAAAGTAGGGTGATCATGGGTTAAGACCATGAAAAATCCTGATTAGCTGCAGTTAATTTAGTTATTCAGATTTGGATTGCATTGATTTAAAATAGGTTAGTAATGTGATGTACATCCATCTAATCTGAATTGCAAGGATATTTGATATTTATCATTTATGTAAGCGAATATGAACATAAGGAATCACTGCTATTTTAGCCTTTCTTCTAGGTCATTTGAAATTTTCTATCCTTTTGCATTGATAATTTCTTATCTAATTATGACTGAGTGTTTATCTCCAGCAAGATTGGTTGCTTGGAAGAGTCTAGACTATATTTAAGAAAAGCATTTATAGTACGTTATTATGTCGACTAATAAAATTATAAATGACTCGAAATGAGAAAATTAAATTTTAATCAAAACCTTTTAGCAGCCCCAAACATTAGCGTATTTCTTATATCTTGACATAGACACTACTTATTGGGGGCAATGTTTACATGAAGCAACCCTAGGCGAGTAAAGTTAGTCTACGTATATATGGTCAATGATTTCAGGTATAAATAAACACTGGCCACTAAAAAAAATAAATAGACAGTTAATCACATTCTCAATTAAAACCTTACATCACTGCCAATTATGGCGCAGAGAAGTAGGATGTCGAATATTTAAATAACAAACCCTTTTAAAAGGATTCTTACAGGTTCAAAATGTCATTATTATTGAGCACATCAGATCATATTACATTTAACGTCCATGTACAGCGAGTCACGTGCACGGATCTCAGAAGTAGTACTTTTACATAATTAAATTTCATTTGTATCCGATTCCCTGAGCTCAGCCGTATGTTAAAGAGGTCTTTCAGGACAATTCTAAAGGTGAACGAAATTCTTCTATTTACCTTGATGTTGTTGTAACCACTTTTTATTGAATTTAGAGAAAACGTTCTGACAGAAAACGGACGTTTCGAAGACCACATTAATCCTGAGTGTGTTTCTGCTTGGATAGAATTGGACACACAGTAAAATCATCGGAGACATCCGTGTTATCATCTTTCAAGTGAAGAATTTAATCAGATTATTTTAAGATTATTGAATCAATCTAAAATTAATAAATATAAAAAATGCTAAGCAAGGTATATCGTGATTAATTAGTTTAACATACTTTCCATTATTCAACCTACTGAATATAAAGATTTTGCGCATTTGTCTTCAGAATACGTATAATCAATTTTTTAACACTTTGCTTAAAAACGCAACAGATGCCAAGAAGGAAGAATGAAATACATTTTCAGTCAATTTTTCAGTATTGGTCACAATAGAAAATTAATGCATCAATGAATTGTTTGCAGCAATTGTAAACAGATGCAGGAACATAGCGTAATTGGTACATTGATCGTTATCCAATCTAATCACATCCGATATTACAGGTTTTGGCAGATAAAGATCAATTGAATTCGAATCTCTCAACAGAAATGTTTCGCTGCGCCCATCTTTATAGAATATGCAAGTTGGAAAATGCTTTCCTAATTGGAGTTATGAAACAATAATAATGCTCAGACACATTGAACGATAGCATTCATTTATACCATGGAGCCAGGTTTTTGCAATGTACTAAATCTTAATCAAGACAATTTCCGGATCAAAGCCTTTTGATTCGTTCTCTATTATAATTTCTATTATAAAATTAAATTAAAATTATTTAATTTGGTTATCTAAAATTATTTTTGATCAAGTTGTTGTTAACAGCGTTGACCTTCGGTGTGTTTGCTTTTTAGCTGCCCCAATTGTCTAACATTTATTTTCTTCTATGAGTGGGTTACTGAGCGAGTTATTGGATGGACAGGTATGTCATATTTATCGCTTATTTTTAAAGAAACCTAAAGAAAATGTCCAACCTGAGAGTATGCGTGTCGTCCCCGAACCAGGTGTATGTGTAAAGCTTAAATGTGATTCCGGCAGTAAAATATTTGCAAATGTCTGTACGTCCGGAAAGGCAAGTTGAAAACTTTTTCTCAATTACCAGATTCCTATGCCTGATGAAATATCTGAAAACCAGTTGGTTAAAATGCTTGAAAATACCGAAGAAGCGCCACCCTACCGCATCCCTTTAAGTATCGGTGATGCACATTGCGAGGTGGATAATTGTAAGTTTATTTCGGCAAATATTTACTCTTTTCTTCAGCCGGGATTCCATGTTCGGCCTATGATGTAATCATAAATCCTGGTTTTCTCGAAAAGATCAAGGCTTCCGAAGTTTTCATGGCATTTTTAGTCACAGTGATCATTGAAGGTCTTGAAACAAAATTTAAATTATCCATAAAGAAAGGTATTTCACATTTTTCATACACTTTGCTCTATGTAGACTGGATTATATTGAAGAATAAGAAATGTATGGGTACCTTACAGGAACAGTTTATTCGATCTAGACCCCGGCCAATCATCATTGAAATGGACGAGTCCTCTGAAGGGTACTTTTACTGTTATTTGCTTACTTTTCTAGAACGACTAGCAATGTATCAGAAATCAAGAATGCTGCCCCAAAATCATCTATTCCAGAGTTTAAAATGTCTGCTATACCTGATGTAGAAAATCCTGAAGTTATAGTAACTGAACTAAAGCTTCCTGAATTAGTTAGTTTTGTTCATATGTCCAATTTTTATATCATGTACTTATGCATTTAAAAAATTTCTTTCACTTCAGTCAAGTTGTAGGGGAATTGAGCTTGACGTTGGCGCGAACTTGTTCGTTCTTCGTACTCGAAGTCATCTCTACGAAATGGCCGCAAAATTAAGTCACAGAGTCGATCAAGAAAAAACTGTTGCTGAATTCAACTCCCGAACGAAGGTTGGTCTACTTATTAGTTATCAGTAGCAATATTATAAAAGAATCACTAGTTGATCCCCACTCATTTATGATAACAGGAAATGGTCTTAAACCACTTAACCATGCAATTTTTGATAGACATTTCGTTGGGAATCACGCTTATCCTCCCTCGCTTTCCACTTCCGCTATTAGCTGGACAATTTAGGTTTCTTCATCTCCAATATAACCCCTTGTATCTCATTGATCATTTTCGCATTTAACTTTAGTTAGATACTAGCTTCAATTATTTATCTTATAATATCTTTCGCTATCTTGCAATTTTATATTTTCTACCTTAACACATGGTACTCTTGCAGGCAGAAATGACGGCCTCTAATGGAGTCTTTTGACCGGTAAAAGAGGATGAAGAAAGTTTTAGATGGGAAAAAGGCCGACAGTGGGGGGGGGGGATTTTGGGAAAATTACTGCCGCGTATCCTTTGGGTGCTTTATACTTAACTACTGCAATCCCCCCACCCCACCCCCCCGCCACCCCCCTCCTCCCTCCCTCCTTTCCCGACAAACAGCGGTTTTAGCAGATGTGATGTGCATTCTTATTTTCCTCCCTATCTCTTAGTTTTACTGAGCTTATTTCTATCGTTTTTTGCCTCCACTTAATGGGCTCCAACTTAGCATTACTTTATTTTTTACTTCATAATTTTCTAAAAAAGGGTAAAGTAGGCTGACTTTTGGTGAAAAAAATAACTATTCCCTTTTCAAATGACACAAGTTATTCGGTACGTATACTTCTTTTGACGAAATGAACCTATAATTGGTAGAAAAGTTAGATTTGCCAGGGGTTCAGTTTATTCTAACTACTCTAGTTAGGACTTATTGTGAGTTATTTCCAACCGTGCATCTATCGCAAGGCGACTTATTGATAAGTTGCTCTAATACACTTTTCATACCTATGCCAATCAGTGATCAAAATTTAGGTGTCGTGCTAATTTGCTCCTTATACATTTTAATCGATCAATTACTAGCCAATGTACCTGTTTACCCTAACCAGCTGCTCGACTAATTTACAAATGTAATTGCAGCGACTTATAGATAGACTACTGGATGGCTCTAATAGCTTCAATTTTAACAGCTCAAGAGCTAAGTTTTTACCTGAGCATATATCTGCTGTCTAAACAAGTTACCCTCCGTTTTCTCCTTACCCTTTCAACCATTGCTTTTAACCAAATATTAATAAGGCAGTGGGGAGGAGTGGGGGGGGGGGGGGGTGGAACTGCCTTTGTACACTTGCCCTTACATTTCCCTCCCCCCTTCTACCTATTTGTACTGAGTCATGGTCCCTATATTTATGTTGAGTCCCGCCGTCGTTGTCACATCTGCTCATCTTTGCGCTACGACTCACTTGACTTACTGGCTCCTCCTTTGACACTCTTATATGCCCCCCCCCATTTATTACTTCAGTCGTAGTTTTACTTTTAGTGAGTTGGTTCCTAGAAAAGGCAAAGGGAAAGCTCATGTCATATGGAGGTAGTGGAGAGTCTTACTCATTTGTCTACCTGACCGATAACAAAGTATCCACTTGACTAATCAACGTTTCTCTAGCCAAGAAGCCGACATAGAGTCCAGATGGAACTGTCCGTTAACACTGGACTTTACCTAATCTTGCCTTACTATATAATCTTTACTATTTGCACTAATTTTTTTTCGACATTTTAGATTTTGACTGTGACAATGCCGGTGGTTCAATCTGCAGCCGCTTAAAGATGAGCTCTCTTAGAAAAATGTACCCTGTATTGATGTGTGTTTTTTAATTGTTTCAGACTCGTTTGCCATTTATAGCGTTCTAATTCTCCCTTTGCATTTAACTTTATTTAAATTTAACTAACTTTCTGAAAATATATTAACAGGCATTAATTTCTCTCTTATTCATTTTCATTAGAAGAAACTTTTTCCTATTTCTGTCAATACCTTACATAGAAATCCGAAAATTTTTTTGTGATCTGCATTGTTTTATAAAATATGCTGTCAGAAGTTCATGAACAAAATTAGTTGTTTTTTGTAATTATCACTTTTTAGATAGTTTAAAAATAGACTTTATGCGGTGACTGGTAGTAGAAATGAATGTAATTTATCATTTAATTTCAACGGCATTGTATTTTCTTGGAAATGTTTCACGAATTTCATTATCAAAATGTTGTCTGCAATTTAGTTCTGAAAGGAAGTGATTTTGGGTAAATTCTGGTATTCTATCAAGAGAAAACGATGTCGGGCTTGATCTTTTTCAAAGATGTCATCCAGCAAGTGGTGGTATCGTACACTCATTCTCCAGGAAGTAGAATAAAGATGAAAGCGAAAGAAACGAGGAGATATGAGCGTTTCCGGTCTCATGAAACGCAACTCTCTATCAGTGGAGGAAGTGGTCGGAAAGTGGAAGATGGAGAATTAAGGCAATCTCCGGATGTGCCTTGACTCGAATTCTACCAACGCTCAGCTTTACTTAAGACTGTATGCTAATCGAAACTACAGCTTTTTTACTTCAATCCGAAGCCTGATTTTATGCTATCTCGTTTCATGGGCAAGACGAAAAGCCCGCTGTCTAAATTGAAATTCACTATTGCTAGTGGCAGTGCAAAAATTTTGCATTTCTTGCCAGTGAGGAAGTCCAATAATTGATGAATTAGATCGAGTTAGTCGAACGAGTCAGGTTTCATAATGTCTACTTATGAAGAGCGAGGATCACTATATCACCGTCTAATGTTTCAGTGTTTGGGGTGTGCGATAGACTTACCTCCACGTGGGGCATCCTGGGCAACGTATACTCATACGGCAAAATTGTCTGTCAATCGGTAGTTGACTTCTGACTTCAAACTACCATAACCCCACTGTATGTCATATTCGACCCCTTTCACAATACTCACCTCACCTTTTTTCTACCTTCGTCTTTGAAACACTCTTCTGTTTCTCCTCCCCCTCTCGATTTTCTTTCACTTTGATGTTCCTTCCTCTCTAGGAAGCCTGAAGTCAACTAAAGGGCTAATGATAACCATCAAAACGAACTGAAGTCAGCTAAATGGCTAATGATAACTATCAAAACGCCTCCTGATAACTATCAAAACGCCTGTCATTTCTGCTTCTTTGATGAACCTTCCCTCTGTAAAGCCCGAACTATGCTACTTTGATGTTCCTTCCTCTCTAGGAAGCCTGAAGTCAACTAAAGGGCTAATGATAACCATCAAAACGCCTGCCATTTAATATAAATAGTGTTTCATTCTTTTAATTTAAAGTTACTCCTTACCCCAAAAATGGGATGTTTGGTCAGTCATGCCTTTTCAGTGCATGTTATGCATGCATATATGAAAATACACACTATTTATTGCAATACGAAACTGCTAACATAAGTCGAATAGTTTGACTTCTAGTCACTATAAGTTTTACTTATGTAAGTAATTTAAGCAAGCCTTATGCGTTAAGTTTTTTTTTCTGAATAAGCTGATAAATTGTGCTAAATTTTCTCCGAAAATTCCCTAATTTCCGGTTTTAATTTTCCATATGACTTGTTATTTCTAGAGGTTTATTTCCACTTAGGCTCACCATTTCGCAATTAGACTATTTTTTCAATGATGAAGCAAAACAAGTTTTATTTCTTTGAGATTTAAGAGCAAATCTGTATTCGTTTAAAGATAAAAAATATTCATCTTAAAGGTTATATTTTAAAACAATTCATTCACAATAGGTGGGGGGTATAATTTCTTGAAAACTCTCCTCTAAATTACCTCTTTGTACTAGAGATTGCGCAACTGTCTTTCAGATTAACTCCCTGTAGTCAAATGTGACTAGTTGGTGACTGGACGTGTGTCTCTGGCTTCTTCTGAGGGGGTAGGGTGGTGGGGGGGGGGGGGGGGGGGGGGGGGGGGGGTAGGGATTAGTTCCCAAAATTCTCTTATAAGTACGGTGGTTTCCATAGAGAGCTCCTTAGGTATAACATTTTGGATTAACTGACACTCCATGATTAAGCTACCAAGTTACATGTCTTCTTCCTTAAACAGAGGCAACCTTAATTACCCCTTAATTATGCTCAACTCTTAAAGTAATTTTATTAGAAAATATGCAGTATAGGTGTGCTCACACGAAAAGGCCTGCAGTTCCCAGGCCATAGAACTCAATGCGAGACTCAATTGTTTTGGGTACGTGTGGTATATAAGCGACTGCTCTATTCCTCCCTTCGTGAAATCAAGTCCACGAATGCGGACATGCGGCCCTCGTTGTCCAAAATGGAGGCCATACTTAGTGGAAAAGAAAGGAAAAGAAGCTATGCTTATGTGGAATCAGAATTTTGAAAAGCGATTTAATGGAAAAAGGGAGTGAAATTTATTACACCTGTATTATACTGCAAACTGTTTCCTTTTTCAGTGAACTCACAACTTTGGTGAAGAGTCAAAGACCGGCTTTAAGCTAAGCGTAAAGATAAGAGGAGGTGTATAAGAATCGACTGCTATTTGCTTAACTGCCACTTACTGGACTCTGCAAAGTTGAATAGGTTCGAGTATGTCAGCTTCAGCTTATGCACTTTCGAACAATGCGAGTAGGAGCGATACAACTGTCCATTTTCAGTTTGAGCAATTTGGGATATGAGCTTTCCTTTGTTGTCAAAACTTGCTCTAGGCTATTTTTGCACAAGTGTCAATCAACCAATCACAATGCTATTTCCTGGTGAGCAAGTATCCTGAATATGAAAAAGACAGAGTAAAAGTGAAGTATCTACTTTTCGGGGGGGGGGGGGGGGGGGGGGCGAATTGCACATATTTTACTCTCCTTACTCCTCAAAGTTGCAATTTTGAAGGAGTCCTAACTTCATTTCTTTACAACATCTTAAAGCTATTAAAGACTGATCATTTCTTGTCGGTCATAAGGCCTAAATTTAGGTTAAGGAGTCATGTTGGCTACTAATTTTGATATTTAAAATTTTATTAACAGAAATGCGTAATAAAACGCCAATTATAAGGCTTATAATAAATGCTAATTGAGGCTTATCAATCACGTTAATAGCATGTT